ACCCTGTGCTCCTGCACTGTCAGCTGCCTCAAGGTGACTCTTTTTTCTCTGTCAGTGATTGTGTAATGGTTCTTGAAAAGAATACTTTTCAGAAGTTTGTTACATTGAACCTGGTACCTGAAGAAATCGGCTGTTTCCCAATAGAGCACCTACATAACAGTACTTTGTGCTTTGCCAAACCTTCTCCACCTAACCCCTTAGTCTTGCTGCTCTTTAGGTTTTTGTTTCTAGAAACAGAGTCTGTATCAGGGTCTGGGTATGAGGGAGGGGTAGTGGAAAAGGAGGAGAGAGTGCACAAAGGATTCTTCAGTGCACTGACATCCAAAGTCTTACAAGTGCAGTTATCAACGTGAGCAATTTAAAGCAAAATTGGCTTGGGGATTTGGAATTAGCCTATAAATTTGCTCCCCTTTTCTCAGTCCTCATTGTATAAAAAATAAAACCCTCAAAAACTCAACACAACCCATGGTGGAGAGTTAATGAAACTGCTTTGGTGTCAGTGATGTAATTCTGTTGCTGTGGGAAAACTGCTAATGTGACTACACAGTCTGTGATACTGCTGACAGTCTTGAAAAACACATCAGTCAGGGGTCTTGCAGTTTTTACTAGAGAATATTGGAATCCCCACAGTAGCTGCTGATACATGCTAGCACTCAAATGTAAGTGCCAATGGGCCATGTTAGTAACAGCCACTTATTTTGGATATTGGGAGCATGCCTATCTGGATTACACTTGCTGTTTTTGTGGAATATTTTCATGTGCTTTGTCTTGGCCTCCTATCAACTTCCACCAGAGCAGCCCAGAGAATCTGCTGCTGAAGCACTAGTTACATGACACAGAGCCTATTAATAGCTGTGAAAGCAGAGTGCTTCTGCTGTGCAGAGGCCCCATGTCAAGAGCATTTGGAACATTTTCTGTTTTTTTACTCCTTTCAATGGGGTCAAAATTTGGTAACTTGTTTACACTAAAGGCAGTGAATTTTTAATTTGACCGAAGGCCATGAAATTGATTCTGTATTGCCCTTTGTTTAATCCTTGCAAGGTAACTTAGAATGTTTTGGTGTGCGTTAAGTTGGTTTTCTTTTTTCCACTGAATTTCTACTTTGTAGTATTACTAGCTTCCATCTTTACAGGTCGTAGTTTTCAGGTACTTGTCCGCTTGACTGCTAGTAACTAAGAGTTATAAAGTGTTTAGGAGACATCATAAAAGCCTTCTACCTGTTTATACTAACACTCAACATGCATTTCTGGTCTCTTCAGAGCAGAAATAAGAGAAAGGAACCAAATGTACACAAAATGACAAAGAGCTTTCCAAAGGGGAAGAGTCCTTCCAGACGCTTTGACATGTAATATGCACTCAGTCATAGCTTTGTATTACTATTTTACAGGCATTTTGTGTAAACCCGATAGTGAGCTTTCCATGCCACCTTAACCATGCCAGACTGTTACGTTCTACAAGGTTAAACCATGCACTGAATCCTCATTGAATCAGGAGGGGAATCTTTGGGAATACCATGAACAGTGTCGATTGTTTGCTTTGTTTCATCCTTGTCTTCAGGGCAATTGCTCAACTGTGAAACTGCAACACTCAATGATATAAATCCACTGAATGCTGTCTTGAGGAAGAATTCAAGAGCAAAAGCTTCAAGGGGAAGACTCCAATCTCTGATAGACTATAAGTCTTACACGGACACTAAACACGTGGCATGGATCCTTGAGCAGTCCTGCAGCATAAGCCCAGACATACATGACTTGGTGGAAAATATCAAGTCTGTTTTAAAATCAGATGAGAAACACATAGCAGAAGCCAGTGTCACTTTCCTTGAGCAGGTAGTTTAATTACTTGTACTGATCAGATGATGTGGAAACACACTGCCCCTGATTTGGAAGTATAGGTTTCCATTTGCCAGTCTGTGTATCAAGAGTTTTTGGACTAAATTGGCTTCTTTCAGCACTTTAGTTTCATGTAGGGAGTGACATTTCTTACTCTATCAGCTAGAAACCAGAGTATGTGTATTTAAAAACCAAGTCAGTCTTCTAATGAGGAATCATGAACTGTAAATAACGTAACAGCATTTTATACTGAGTCTGGCAGGAGGGAGGGATAGGATGTTATAAACAAGCATTTGCTATTGCAAACCAGAAGGAATGGAGGCTGACAAGGAAATTTTTATGTCAACCCACTAGAAGCAACTTTTTTGTGACTGGCTCCCAGGATAAAAATAAGACCTAGTATTAAAGAAGGAAAAGCAGAAAATAGAAAACAATGTGCGTAACATTAATGGAATGAATATCCAGAAGTTTCAGACACTGCCGACTTCATCAAACAAATGTTTTGGTAACTTGCAGACCATTTGAGTAGATAAATTGATTCATGCATAGCACAAGTGATTTACTATGACAGCTGGTTTTGGTTTGGGTTCTCATGCAAAACACATCAGTATCATTTAGGCCCTGCAAATAAAGTGGGATTTCCCACTTCAGGCAGCAAAAGCTGAAAAGCCTTCAGGCAGCAAAAGCCTTGATAAATTTGACAGAAACAGGAGGGAAAAGGCTCTTTATGAGAATTTAATTTATCACAGAGGCCTTATAATAACCCTGTAATAACAGGGTTATTACAGTTCAGTGGCTTCTGCAAGGAAGCAACATTAGGTTATTTCTAAACAATACCAGATATGTCATAGGTTGGAGTTAGAGCACTCGTCTGCACCTTTGAGGGGGAAACCAAACCAAACTAACAAAAACCCCACAAATAACAACAAAATAAAAAATCACCCGGCTCCTTCTCCCAAGTAGGACTCCTGTTCCCATGCCTCCTTGGCAAATGCTAGGAGTTGTACAGGTTTTTAAATTATTCTTTAAAAATAACAGACAACACTACAACTAGCTTTTTCCTATTTGGGTAAAATCTATTTTAACAGAACAAGAACCTGAAAACAAAACTGATTTAAACTTCTCTTTACTTTTTAAAGGTGATGAAACCTGCCCAGCAAGCCACATCATTGAGAGTCATGTGTTACCTTACAGATTGCATCCTGGATTGTTGTACCTAGAGAGCTGTGGTGACCCAAGTACTTTCACCACAGAGGGAGAACAGCTAGCGGAGAGGAGAATCCAAAGAGCAAAACATGCCTCACAGTGTTATTTGTGTTGTCAGAGAAACTGTGCTTTGAGCTGGCTTTTTGGTTATTCTTCAGCAGAGCACTGCTGTCAGACATATACATACTGCAGAGGAAGATCATCTCTGGCAAATGGGTGGATGGGTTTGTCAGTAATCACCTCCTTTTTTAATACTCTTATGCACAGACCCCAAAGGGTGAAGATCATTCTGCAGAGTGAATAAGCTGGCCTTTACTGGGCTCTCAGCTGCAGTTCATCGGCTTGTAATGCATTGGTGCCCTGCATCTCTGTGAAGTTTGGAAATGTGTAGTTGTGGGGTATGATGATACATCATCCTTGTGGAAGGAGCTGTCAAAAGTGGTATTGAAGAACTTCGCAAATTTTTGTTACTTTGGTTTAAATTAAAATCTCCTATCATAAAATGGAGATATTCAGATACAAACTAAGTCAAACAATGGTGTAAAGAATCCTAAAATTATTCTTTATAAAAGAAGGTTGTTGATGTGCAAACTCGAATAAAATAAAATCTGTCTTGAAGAAGGGCTCCTTTGGCTCAGTGAACTTCCCTCTTAATGGCAGACCATTATTTTTGCCTTAATGGTGAAACAACATCCAAACCCAAAAGCACAGGTGTTTTGCAATAGGTGGTGCTGGCTTGTTACTATCCCAGGAAGAAAGGCATCTCTATGTAGTCTCATTTAAAACGTTGTTTATTACAGGAAGTGCTATGAACAAAGAAGCTGGTATAGCGAATTTTATATTCCTTCAGGTGCTGGGAACCCCAGACTTTGCAGCATCAGGCAGGGCACAAGTTTTGCAGATCCCAATCTTTTACCCCATTTAGGTCTACGCATCACTTCTACAGTCAAGCAAAAGGCCTTTTCACATGGGACCTTACTGCTGCTGCTCTAGACAAAGGCAGGGGCTCACAGGTATTGCTGGGTGGTGTTTACCATTTTGAGTACCACTGGGGCTACCTGCAGGCTCCTTTCCTAAACAATCTAAATTTGTTCTGCGGCCAAAGGACATTCCTGGAGGTCCATCTGTAGGAGCAGCACAAAGCACAGCACAGGCCTGGCTCTACTCAGGTAAGAGGCACAACTCTTCTGTACCATGATTTTAGGTCAGGATTGCTCCATATGCTTCTGCATTGAACATTTATTTAAATTACCATCCCATCCCTGACACTGACACTGTCAGTCACCAGCATCACCTCTTCAGCCTGCAAGGCTCTACAGGGTGCTGGAACCGAACTGTCCTCTGTGTGGATCCAAACTATTAAAACGCTGAAGGAGGGGGCAAGAAACATGTCCCCTATGAATACAGCAAATCTGCAAAATTTTTGTCTGTACTGCTAAAGTAAGGGCTTTTGTTTATCCACCAAAATGCAGAAAAGTTTGTAACACAGAAATTGGTATGTACAGATAATGGTAAGAATAAATGGGTGGTACACAGTGGAATGCAGAACGTAAGTTCGGCCTGTCCACTGCACTTTTACCAGGGACTTTACAATTTCTTCTGTCATTTAAGCAACTAAGTTGAAATACTTCATTCTCTCACGTTAATGGTATTTCTATTTCATGTTACAAATAGCCCTAAATGGCTGAATGCCCATGTTTAGATTTCTTCTGAATCAGCTGTGGCATGTATTGTCATTTCTGTGGTTTCAAAGTACTCATGAAAACCTATGAGGCACAGAAAATCCTATGAAGCCTCACTAGAAGAAATACTCCCTGGATTACTTTTTTTTGTTAACTCTCAAATATGATAATATTTTTCATAATCTCTCATATATTTTTATTTTATTACTATATATTTTAAATAAAGGTTTTTAACCTTAGCAAAGGCTACGTTCCACAATTAATTCTAGGGACAGACATATCACAATTCTACTTTTTATTTATTCAAATGGTGTTAGGTTTTTAATAATAAACCATGCTGATGACATTTAAAGGAAAACAGTTGTTTCAGAAATTAGGTGTAAAGAATTTTTATCAAATCTCCATTTATGAAAAATTCCTAATTAAAGTTATTCAGTCAGAGAAATAATATTTCTATCAAAATCACAGTGGCATTTCACACAGTAAAAACTGGGATGCCACCTTAGATTAGGTATCACCTTTCTTCAGGAGCACTAGTGTCATGTATTACCTGAAAAGAATGCTGTTTTAACAATAAAGGTAGCAGCATTGCTTCACGCCTGCAGAAATACAGATTAGAATTACTCCAGACTAAGTGGCAAAAAGAAGTTCAGACACCTTCCAATTATCTATACATTCAGCACTGGCAAATCAGCCTCTAGGTCAGTAGGAGCAAATTCTCAGCCTTGTCTGAGGCATTTTTGTTTTGTAGTTTATTGTTGCAAATCTTACAGACATTAGCGCTCTGTTAAATAAAGGAATGTAGCACAGTAAATACATCACAACAAAATAACTGGCCAGAAACCCCTTACCCTGTCCCATCCAAAGCAAAAAGCCCACTCTTCTCCCCTCTGTCTCTCCCCCAAATCAAACCAGCACAGCTTCATTAGAGAGGTCAGAGACCTGTGGCAGAAAACATCAGAGTAATTACATTCAGTAGATGTGCAATATCAACATTCCAGGCTCACATATATTTATATATATATATATTTATATTTTTATATAGAGATCATTAAATGTTTACAAAGAACAATATTGTTACAAATACAATACTATGCTTTTCCCAATGCTTTGCAATAATTTCTATTCATCCTCTTTACAGAACAATAGTACAACTTCATAGTCTAGGTACTGCGCTAAATATATACAAGAGATCTCAACCATGTTGTGGTCTTGAGAAATACATAACTTTTAGAAAAGAAGGAAAGCTAGCAAACTTGGAAATCCAAACTGAGACTCCAACAAGATCAAAACAAACGTGAAACTTCTCAAAAATAAAAAAATACAAGGGATGTTTCATCCTTAATGTAAACACTGAAGAGTTAATTGGACTATACGAAGCAGCAAGGATGAAAGAAAAAGAATTCAGGCCTGTCACTAAAGAAGGAATGTAAACCTTTGAAGGAATGTTCCTTTGCATCTGTTAAAAATCCCCATATCTGATCTATCATACCGCTGCAACAATCTAGAGAACAGCCAGCTTTCCCATTTGAGTTCCATTTTCTTGAAACTCTGTTTACAGAGTAAAATGGGATTGTTTACGAGACTGTTCTCAGAAGTGTGCACACACTATGGACCTCTCAGTTTAGAAATCTTATGCACATACTGCAATTGAAAAAAATGAGATTTTTTTTTTTTTTGCTAAGCTCTGGTCCTGCAAGCATTCATTTGCTTAATTTTAAGCACTTATTTAGGATGAACAGTAGCTTCACAAGCCCCTGGCTGCAAAATGTCCAAAGAAACAGTGGTTTCTTAATACATTTGCATATTCAGATCTTCATAATTTTCACATGAAGTGAGCTAAAGACTTCACCACAGAAGTGGGCTAGACAGAACCACAGAAACAAGTGAAGGGCATACACATAGCAGGAACCAGAAGCATGGTAACTGTGTCATCAAGCGTTCACAAAGTTTCCTCAGGCAATTTATGGAAAGGCTGCACTGTATATAATCTTCTAAATTGTACATGGTTATATACCATATTTACATTTATTACTATATATATGGAAAGTTCTAGAAAAAGGCTTCAAAATAGCATAAACCAGATGTCTACAGTTAAACATACTCACAAGCCATTAATTATCTTGTTGCATCAGTGAGGCAGCAGAGTTAAGTACTAACCTGGAATACTAACACCATTCTCTTGTGCAATCTGCTATTCTGGAGTCTTGGATTAAATTATATAACAACAAGAAATGCAGTAAAATCAAGTAATTGTACATTAATCTCAACACTAAAACATATCCCCTTACTATAACAGTTTATGCACCGCTTCATTAACGTCCCTTAAATATCTGCTTCCCACAGAAATACAGTTTATCCTCTAACTCTAATCAGGCCGTGGTGATCCATGACTTCAGAAAGCCAAAACACGTACCCCTGACAAGAGTGCTCAGTGGTTCTCAGCAGTGTTTGCAACAAGTGCACATGCACACATCCACTTCCATGAATCCCCATAGCAATGTCTAGGATCATCACTGGACTGCAAGCAACGCTTACATTGCACAGCTCACATCACAACAAGTGAGACACAAGTGACTATGAACAACACCGCATTTGCAAAGCAGAAGTGGCGTGTGGCTGTGTGTTGTCTTGTTTTCATCTCGCTGAGCCTTTCCATCACAGCAAAACACAGCACAAACTGTTTCTTTAAAAGAAATCAACATACTAGCCTGACTAAACACATGGTTCAACTTCAGTATAAATACCAGTATACAGTCCTGAAAAAAGTAACTACAGAGAATGTAGAATTCTCTCACTAGGAAGAAAAGACACTTCTTTTTTATTTTGAACCCTCTTAAAAAAACCAAAGAAGCCAACCCAACCCCCTTTTCCCCTTTTGTCTCTAGCATGCAACTTAGAGGCTAATTAAATACAAGATTTCATACATCCCTACAGTTAGTCATCTTCATACAAGTGCATATAGTACACACATATCTCTTGTAAGTGCCATACATATGGGAAAAAGTCACAAGCTAAATTATATAACAAAATAAATAAGTTTATTCCTGCCTCATCCTTTCAACTGTTTCCTATATCATGAACTAAACAGGAAGTCAATAAAATTAGACAGGTCTTTGGACAAAAATATATGTTAAAACTGGCTCAGAGAACAAAATTACTTAGAATAGTCTGCAGATCTCTTATATTCAAACTTCATAAATAGGAAGCACAATTTTAAAAATGCCTATATACACTGGCACACATGGCTATGTGCACCAAAATTGGAATTAAGAGCCTAGAAAAAGTGTAGCTATTCAGCAGATCCCCTCAGTATTTTTCTTGTGGCTATTTAAAGATTCTCCCCCCCACACTTCTTTAACCTCTAAAATCAGGAAGGAACTATAAAACACAAAGCTGGAGAAAACTAGAAACGTGGGGGCAGAGAGGAGGAGGCAGCTGTAAAAAAATGCCTCCCAAATTTCTTAGTGTAAGTAATGCAAGAATAACATGTTTCAGGAACTTACAGAGTATCTTTCTACTAGATAGTATCTACTATCATGAAGAACTGATGACAGAGGGGAATTAAAAGATGTGTATTTGGACAATTCATTTTACAACAGCAGCATTTACTGAGTCTTTATAAGCAGGCAAAGTTTCCTGAGGCCAAAATAATCCTTCTGGTATTCTACTTTCCCCATAGAAACAAACCTTTAGAACTAACCTTTAGTACAAACCTTTATTACTTTGGTGCCTGTGAGAAAATAGGGGAAGAGAAGCAAAGTCACAGGCAGGATTTCCAAGAGAACACCTTTCACCCTATACTTCAATCTATTTGGTAAAGTAATTGTTTTTCATTCAGCAACATTTAATTTACTCATTTTGTAAAATTACAGCCACAGAAATAAAGCTGATTATGTAGCATGAAATAGAGCTATCTGTGAACACTTCTGTAAACTATGCTGCTGTTATTTTCCTGTTTTGCATGTAGAGCTGTATGAAGTTTCACTTGTAAAAAGATGCAACCAAAATAGTTCCACAGATACATTTTGCCCCTTATCAAAATGCAGGAAAATGGTGGGAAGAAGAGGAAAAAGGGATGAAGGGGAAAGCAACAGTGTATTTGTGTCTGTGATTGGGGGGAGAGAAAGAAATGTCTTTGCAGACACAGAAATGCAGCACTAGAGAGACAAGCACTAATGAGGAAAAACATCTTCCATGCACACTGCGGTGGTGAAGTGTCGGCTTCAGATGTAAACTGGTTGCTCTTGTGCAGTCAACAGTCTGTACATGGCAGCTGGCATGGTCTTCATATGGATCTAGAGGAAATAAGCCAAGTTAAGCGATGTTTCTAAACATGCACACCTGGGTGAAGGATCCAGATAAGGTCATACAAGGCAGAAAAAATGATAAAACTTGAGAATTTTCATACCCTTATTAAAGTATTGCAGGTGATGATTTTAAGAAATAATATGTTTAGTATTGATGAACCATCTAAAATTGTTCACGTCATATTTTCAAGGTATGGCTCTTCTAAAGCATAGAAGTATGGGGCAAATAATGAAAGAAATGATGTGCAGGCTTGCTCTCACTTCAGCTTTTTGGATTTGATTAGCAACATGCCAACAGAGGTAGAACCACAGAATTATGGAACAGTTTGAATTGGAAGGGACCTTTCAAAATCATCTAGTCTAAACTGCCCTCCACAGGTATCAACATTTTTCGCTAGAACAGGTCACTTAGAGCCCTATCCAATCTGGCCTTGAACACTTCCACATATGAGGCATCCACAGCTTCTCTGGGCAACCTGTTCCAGTGGCTCACCAACCTTAGAGTGAAGGATTTCTTCCTATACCTGATATAAATCTACCCTTTTTCAGTTCAAAACCATGGCCTATTGTTCTGCACTGTCTCCAGTGGTAAAAACACTGTCTCCCTGGTAAAAGCCTCTCTCTATTTTTCTTAGAAGCCCTCTTTACACATTGAAAGGCTGCTGTCAGGTCTCCCTGCAGCCTTCTCTTCTTCAGGCTGAACAACCAAATCTCTCTCAGCTTTTTCTCACAGGAGAGGTGCTTCAGCTGTCTCTCCCTTTTGAAGGCCTGCATCTCTAGCTGCTCAAGCAGGTTCATTTGTTTATGCTGAGGGCCCAGAACTGCACACAGTACCCCAAGCGGGGTCTCAAAAGAGCAGGATACAGAAGGAAAATCATCTCCCTGTTGGCCACACTGTTTTTGATGCAGCCCAGGATATAGTTGGCTTTTTGGGCTTCAAGTGTCCATTCCTGGCTCATATCCAACTTTCCTTCCACCAAGTTGCTCTCTTCAGGGCTGCTCTCAATCCCTTTAGCCCCAGTCTCTATTGCTGTTGGAGACTGCCCACACCCAGAGGCAGGACCTTGCACTTGGTCTTGTTGAACTTCACAAAGGTTACATGGGCCACTTTCCTAGCCTGTTCAGGTCCCTCTAATGGTAGCCCTTTCCTTAAGCACCACTGATCTTGATGTCACCGTCAAACTTGCTGAGAGTGCAACTCAATCCCACTGTCCATGTCACTGATGAAGCCATGACAGACAGAGTGCTGGTCCCAGTACAGGCCCTTGAAGGACACTGCTTGTTACTGGTTTCCATTGGTTGTTATTGGTAACAGCAATGAACTCTGCTATTCTGCCTAGACACATTACTGGTTCTTACCTCACCAACAGCATTTGAGAGGATGTGAACAATTTTCTCATGGGGTGTTGCTACAACACTCTGCCCATTGATTTCAATGATTCGATGACCAACACGCACACCTCCTCGCTCTGCTATGCCTCCTCTCATAAGGCTACAGATCTGCAAGGGAGAGCACAAATTTATCATGGGCTGGATAAGGAACAGACACTTTTGACTACTCATTTTTTGCCTGCAATATATGAATCAACATTTAAACAGAGGCTTGAAACAACAAATTCAAAGATGCAATCAATCACTGACTCAAAATCAAAATTTGTTAGTGACAAATAGCTAATGGATATTTTCTTCCAAGAGCAGAACAAACTGTCAGAAAAGGCTGTTTGTGTTGTACATTACATGTCTTGTGGTTTGGAAATTTATGAGTGTATGAAGGACCTTAATTTAATCATGTTCATTAGGCAGATGCCTTACAACAAAAAGAATCAAGAACTGGCTTTTTTTTGAGATCATGCAATGGCTTGGTTAAAGACATATGTGATAAATGCTGAAAGCAGACTCTTCCCACACATTTTTGTTTTTTTAAGCAGAAACAACGTTTTTATTCCTCTGGCCAACTGTGAAATAAGTAGAAGAAAAGACAAAAAACCTCTTATTAACACAACTTTTATATCTCAGACTGAACAAATGCAAAATCCTGCTTGCTGTAAGGGAGGAAATAGCAGTTTCCTTCTTCTCATCACACTGAAATTTAACCACAAATAGGGAGGAAGTTTCATGTATCTTAAAGCTTGATCAGAAACTATGGAAGCTACTTACAATCCCATTCTGCACACTGAAGCCCAACTGATATCTGAGGTCTGGTCTTCTGATCAAGACTGTGGTTACTGGAGGACATCTAACTATGTTCAGTTTAACCCGAGCCTGGTTTTTCAAACCCTGTAAAAAAATACCAAACTGAGAGTCAAACATGTAATATGAGAAAACAAAAAAAAAGGTGTTAGAATGCTGACATGGGAGCAGCCTTGAAAAAAATATGTCTTTGTATGCATTGTATCAGAATCTGATCACTGAATGCCAGACAACAGAATATTCAGTGAAATGAGTGATAAAACATCAAATTTTTCTTGCCAAAAATCCGGCACAGTTGTTTTAGGAAAACTAGATTCCTGCTGGCAGTTTCTTCATTTGATAACAGAAACCATGCATAAAAGGAGTATTAAAACAGATCTATGAAGCTCACCAAATAAGTAAATTACTTTTAAATTATTAAGTTAGTTACCAAACAGTTGCTTCCCTAATGAAATATACTAAATTCAGTCAAGCAAACAGCAGGTCCCCTTGTATCATCCTTGTATAAGCAACACTCACATAATTTCCATTATTCACAGAATCACAAGATGGGTACTGCGGGAAGGGTCATCTGCTCTAACCTCCCTGCTAGACCATCTCAGAGCACCTGGCACAGGATTGTGTCCAGGTGGGTCCTGAATATCTCCAGTGAGGGAGATTCCATAGCCTCCCTGGGCAATCTGCTCCAGTGCATGGTCACCTACATAAGTTATTCCTTTACGTTCTCATGGAACTTCCTGTGCATCAGTTTCTGCCCGTTGCCCCTTGTCCTACTGCTCAGCACCCCCAAGAAGAGCCTGTCTCCATCCTCTTGGCATCCTCCCTGCAGATACTTGCACTGATGAGATCCCCTCTCAGTTCTCTTTTCTTGAGGCTGAACGGGCCCAACTCCCTCAGCCTTTCCTGAGAAGAGAGATGTTGCAGTCCCTTAACCATCTTTGTATACCCCTCCCCTGGTCCCATTCCCAGAGCTCCATGTCCTTGTTGTGCTGAGGAGCCCAGAACTGGACACAGCACTCCAGATGAGCCTCACAGGGCTGAGCAGAAGGACAGGATCACCTCCCTTGAGCTGCTGGCAGTGCTCTTCCTGATGCACCCCAGGACACCATTGGCCTTCTTGGCCACACAGACACACTGCAGGCTCATGGACAACTTGTCCACCAGGATCCCCAGGTCCTTATCCACAGAGCAGCTCTCTAGCAGGTTAGCCCCAGTCTGTGCTGGTGCATGGAATGGTTTCTCCCCATGTGCAGGATCCAGCGTTTGCCCTTGCTGAACATCAGAATGTTCCTCTCTGCCCATCTCTCCTGCCTGTTGAGGACCCTCTGAAGGGCTGCACAGCACTTGGGTGTCAGCCACTCCTCCCAGCTCAGAGTAATCAGTGGACATGCTGAGGAGGCATCTGCCCCTTCATTGAAGACACTGATGAAAAACTTAAAAAATACTGCACCAGTATTGAACCCTGAGGGATACTGCTACCTAGAGGCCTCCAACCCAACCCTGTGTCATTATGACCCTCTGGGACCTGCCATTCAGCCAATTCTCTATTCACCTTGCTGCCCCATAACCCAGTCCACACTGCCTGAATTTGCCTACAAGATGTTGAGCGAGCCAGTGTTGAAAACCTTGCAGAAGTTGAACATCCACTGCTCTCCCCTCATCCATTCAGGTAGCTTTTCTTCCATAGAAGGCAATTAATTTAATGACACGTGATTTACTTTCAGTGAATCCATGCTGACTACTGCTGATCACCTTATTGTCATCCACATGTACAGAGATGGCTTCCAGAATGAGGTGTCCAGTCCCTTTCTCAGGGATTAAGGTGAGGCTGACTAGACAGTAGTTCCCTGGTTCTCTATCTTACCCTTTCTGAAGACCAGGGTGACATTTGCTTTTTTCCAGTCCTCAGACATGTCTCCAGATTGCCATGACCTTTCAAATATTATGACCAGGACCCTTACTGTGGTGTTTGCAGCTTTCTCAGCATTCATGGGTGCATTGTATCAGGGCCCATGGATGTGCAGATTTTGAGTTTGCCTAGGTGTTCTCTAACTCAATTCTCCTTGACCAAGGGAAAATATTCCTTCCAACATTCCTTTACCCTGATTTCCTGGGTCAGAGATTCCTGAGGGCTGGTCTTGACAGAGAACACCAATCCAAAGGCACTGTTTGATAACGCTGCCTTGTCTGTGTCCTCTGTCACCAGGATGCCTCTTCCATTTAATAACAGGTCCACATTATCCTTTGTTTTCCTTCTGTTGCTGATGCATTTGAAGAAGCCCATCTTGTTTTCCTTGGCATCCTCAGTCAGATTTAATTCCAAATGGGCCTTAGCCTTCCTTGTCTCATCTCTCCACAGTCTGACAACCTCTCTACATTAATCCCAAGAGGCCTGACCCTGCTTCCATCTCCTGTGTATTTCCTGCTTATGCTTGAGTAATGACAGGAGTTCTTCATTTATCCATGCAGATCTCTTGACTCCTTGTCTGACTTCTTGCTCACTGGGATATGTACCTGTCATGGTTTGACACGGGAAGAGAATTTTTTTTTAGAAGGAAGAGGTCAGTCCAGTCAGGGGTCAGGTTTGGATATTGACACTTGGGGTGACCAATTGAAGGTGGACACGCCTCTGAGAACACCGAGGGGTTAAAAGCGGAATTCCCAGGAGGACTCGTCCTTCTTTGGTTCCGGTCACCGCATGGTACGGACCTCTCCTGCCCAGCCCGGGCTGGGTGGGGGAGGGGAGCCATGCGGCCTGCACAGGTAGGCCAAGAGGATGAAAGATCGGGAACCAAGCTGGGCCAGCTCCTGCAGATGGAAGGGTGGAGAACATCTGGGATGTTTTTGTTCCCCCCCCCCCAAGCTAGAGGGAAAAGAGATAGAGAGCCAGCAGACACCTGGGAGTGTGCCGGCAGAGGAGAAGGAGAAGGGGGGGGGGAAGATGCCCAGCGTGGGAGACTAGAGAAAGAGTCCTGGGCTGAGATTTCAGCCATCCGGGGAGTCCGGGAATTTTAACCCTTTCCTGTGAAATGAAGGCTTTATGAAATATTACTCCTCCTCAATTTGAAGAAAGGAGAGACAGCCTGGGACCTCAGATGTTCAGAGAAGAAGGTTGGGGGAAGATGATAGAGTGGCTTCTGGCTGGACTCTGCTTGTTTACCATAGACTGAACCACTCTTTCTTTCAAGAGGGACTGCATTTTAGGGGGATGCACTGGTGAGCCAAGAGACCTTCTTCAGCAACTACCAGTTCAGGAATGGACAGAGAGAGCTGAGGAGGGTGTGAGGATGCCCTCCATCTTCAGAGAGGAAGAGAAGGCGATCTCTGTCTTTTGGACCCTCGGCCCCAGGGGAAAATGGGGGGGACTCTAGTCCCGAATTGTGATACTGGACTGTTGTTCCTGGTGGTCCTTGGCAAAGCATCCTTAAAGGGGCCCTATAAGCAGTCTCTGTCCATGCCCGGTGGTGAGAGCACTGTGACATGGAGAGGAGAATGTCACACTGGCCCGGTGTGTCTGGGCAGTGCCACGTGTGACATTGGAAACACAAGAGGTGGCAGCTGTGTTTCCTGGGGGTCTATGGTGCAAGGGGACTCCTCTCTTCCCCGATGGACTCAGTATTGATTATATTGAAGGGTGAAAACTTGATTAAGGATCCAAATGGGTCTCGCTGGGGTTTGGTGGAGTTGGGTGGAGGGAGGAGAAATGTTTTGGAAGGTTTTAATTTCAAATTTTGTGGTTTTTTTCTTCCCTTTCTTTTCCTTTAATAGTAGTAGTAGTAGTGTAATAAAGTTTTTCCTTTGTTATTAAGTTTGGCCTGCTTTGCTCTGTTCTTGATCACATTTCACAGCATTTGATTGGTAAGTTGTATTTTCATGGGGCGCTGGCATTGTGCCAGCATCAAACCATGACAGTACCTCTTGAACTTGGAGGAAGTGATCCTTGAATATCAACCTTCCCTGCAGGACCTCTTCCCATGGGATTCTGTCAATATCCATAAAGAGGCTAAAATAAGCTCTCCTGAAGCCCATGGTTGCAATCTTACTTGCTCACATGCTGGCCCCAACCTTCACACCTCCAACAAGCCCTTTCCTGTTTGTTGGATGAGGTCACACAGCACACCCATTTCTTGTGGGATCCTGCAACACCAGTGACAGGAAGATGTCATCAATGCTCTCCAGGAACCTCCTGGATGGATTGTGCTTTGCTGTGTAGCTTCTCTAGAAGATGTCAGGATAGTTAAAGTTCCCTACAAGACCCGTGAGCTGGTGACTTCAAAGCTGATTTGAGCTGTCTGTAGAAGGCCTCATCCACCTCTTGACTAGGCATCCTGTAGCACACACCCACAAGTGTCATCCTTAGCAGTGCGCCCTATTATCCAAACCTTTAAAGTATCTACTCACTCATCATCTACCCCAAGACAGAGCTTGGTACATTTCAAGTACTCTTCCTCCCTTCCAATATAGTTATTTCACATTCCTCATTAGCTCCTTGCTACTATAAAAAAACTGAATGAGAAAAAATTATTTTTTACTGTCAGGGTGGTAAAACACATATTAACCAGAGAGGCTGTGGAGTATGCAGTCTTGGAGTTATTTAAATCCTAGTGAGCACAGCATTAAGAAGCCTGCTCTACTTTGAACCAAAATGTTGATCTAGACCAGCTACAGGAGTGACTGCCAGACTCAGAGATTGTGTTCATATGGCTCTGTGAAAACAAAAATTTAATAAACCACAAATAAATGCCATCATGTCCCCTTGTACAACTTCAAGTACTCAGAGCTCTTGGAGATTGTTAAGAGAGAGTTTTGAAATGCTCAATTACACAAAATATAACCCATAAATCCATTCATAAATTAAAAGAACAAAAATGGTTTCTAAAAAATACAGCAACTTTCAGCTCGCTTAATTAAATACCTACCAATTCCAGTATCTGCTTCTGAATTCCTTTCGTATGTACAATTGAAATCTAGGTCCCACTGCAATCCAGGTGTCAGACACTGACTTCAACTGATTAATTCTGTAATATAGTAGAAACTGCTGTAGCTAAGGTAATCTACTGAAGTCTCTACATACAGTTTACTGCTGCTGATTCTGTTGAGTTGAGCTCCAGATTCAGCAGTGACTTGAGTAACTAAACTGGCATCCTGGCATGATGAACTACCTTGAAGTGTTGTCAGCGCCTTAAACCGGATGTAATCAACACTGGGCGCAAACAGCTGTCCACACCGTGCTGAGCTCATCTTGGCTCATTCTTGCAAGTTGCTGCAAGACAGTGAATGGGTGTCTGATCACAAAATGACAAAGCTCGTGGCTGTAGGAGCTGCCCGTACTGCACCCTCAGGAGAAAGAAGGTCTGAACTCCACCTCTTCCATGACTATGGACTCTTCTAATCTGGTGAGGAATTAGCATTGCACCTCACATGCTCAAGAGTTATTCACTTTATTTAGGCAGGTCTTGACAACAGCACATACTGTAGAGAACAGGGACTTCTCAACTACGCTGTGGGCATGATATTTATGGAAAAGTCTAAGGGAGTTTGGACTCAGCGTTCTAATCCTGAAAGATAGGAGTCATGCAGAGTACTGGGATGCCCATTTCCATGAGGAATTTAAGTGTCTAACTTCAGTCATCTGAATTCACTCAGGGTACATGCCCAGAACAGATTTGATATCATCATTCCCTTACTTCTCTCATGAATGTACAAGTTACTTACATGTATTCCCTGGGAAAAAAAAAAAATAATGTGGTCCCTAACAAAAAATTATTTTAATTTTACAGAAAGTGCATATTTTTCAGAAGTGGATAATCTTCAGTAGTATACAGACCGGTAACATAAACTGATCATAAACAAAATAACTGTATTTTGACCACCTCTCTTTGTTTATCTAGTTCATGAGTATACTTCTGATAGTAACCAGTATCAGATGCTTCTGAAAAAAACAGAAGTAGCATAATCCTATTAGGGAATAGCCACAACACATGGAAAGCTTCTTCCAAGCTCCATCAGTTTGCAATTGGTTTATGGTGAATTAGGAGCAGAGATTACATTCATAATATTGAATTATCTTGTTTGAAGTGCTTGTGACATATGTTTATCCACATAATATCATCATCTTTTCACAGGAGTCCTTCCAGCATGCTAAGGAAATCTGAAATCTGCGATATTTCTATCACATTTAATGATCCACCCTTAGATCATTCATATACATACTTGTTTCCAAAAGTGCTATATGAATAACTCCAGATGTGTGGCTATGAAGATCTGCAAACATATAGATCATCTCTTTAGAAAGACAAAAAAAACCCAGCTGGCAGTTCCTGTGGAAACTGTGGTAATTATCAGGGAAGAAGAGAAAGGCCTGCAGAAGCTGCATTCTGCAAAGCTGGTTGGTTCTGTATTGAGAAAGTACTGATGAGCACAACAAAATCTCCACATGAATAAGGGAAGTATAACTTATCACAATTTAAGAAATAAAAATTATGTGGGATAGGAAGCAACCACAAAGAGCCTAAATTTGCAGGGAGTTTTGTTTTGATGATGCGAGTGCAAAGATATTTACTAAGATTTTTTTTTCTTCCTTTCTTTACAGATGTAAGACTCTTTTTGCCATATTTTCAGTTTGTCACACATGCTATCATTCCTACTCACTGAATCTAAAATGACTGGTTCAGTGACTTATGCATCTATAACTTATCAGAACTCAATATTAACATTTTAGGAAGCCTGAATGGAAAATCTTCATAACAAACATTTTAGTTCAAGTATTAAGAGATAATTTATGAAAAAAAAAAAAATTCACTTTTTTTTACTTTGCAAATTTACTTTGTAATGGAAATTTGTTTTGCAATAAAAAAATACAAAGCGAAAGAAAAAAGTTACACAATAGAACTTGTTACCAAAGAGTTGCCTAAATTGTAAGTCTAACAGGTACATTTTTAAAAATCAGGGAAGAATGCCTACATAATGTACCACCAGCATTACGCATCTTCATGTGATGATCTGCAGAGCTAGGCAGGACCATTTCAACAAATAACTAATTTCAATAAATAACTAATGAACTTTGTTTCAAACACTCTCTAGTGATATATCTTTCCTGCTCTTTAAACATTGATGTTGAAATACTTATTCCTCTATATGCTACAGCTGCCCCAGGCACTGTCCAGTTCCAAATGACCTGCAAGCTTTTCACTGTCACATACTTTACTGACAACTAGAAGAAAGCTCTTCCAATTAAAATGCCCCATTTATGCAAGTGAAGAGAAGCATCAAATAAGAGAAGCACTTTGAAATAACTTGTCCAAAGATGCCACAGAGGGTGTGTTTTTAAGCCAAAGTTTTAAAGCCTTAAAAATAGGTATAAATAAACAAACAAAAAACTCTATTTCATCCAAATATTAAGAGGTATTTGACAGCTAGTAAGGCTTATGACAATATTAGGCACCTGTGCCTATCACAGGTACCTGTGATACACAATTTCAAGTGTATACCTGGTAATATCTTCCTTCTGCACAAAATATTCCCTTGTGAAGTTGTGTACAGAGCCCTTGTACACAAATAAATAGCACAGCAGTCAGGAATGGCACTGGATATTGTCATTCGATCAAGATTTTTGATGCTGTCCCTCAAGATAACCTCATAGCCAAGCTCAGGAAGTGGGTGTGAGATGGATTGAGAACTGGCTGAATGAGAGCTCAGAGAATTGGGATCAGTGGCACAGGTCTATTTGGAAGCGTGTATCTAGCAGTGTCTCCCAAGCTTCAATACTGGGCCCAATCTTACTTATCATCAGAGATGGAGTGCCTCCTTAGCAAGTTCACTGATAACACAAAAGCTGGGATGAGTGGCTGATACCCAAGCGCTGTGCAATACTTCAGAAGGACCTTGACGAGCAGGACAGGTGGGGAGAAAGGAAGCTTCTGAAAATAAACAAGGGCAAATGCACATGGGGAGGAATAACCCCAGGCCCAGCACAAGCTGTCCATGAGCCAGTAGTGCTCTTGTAGCCAAGAAGGCCAATGGTGTCCTGGGGTGCATGAGGAAAAGCACTGGCAGCAGCTTGAGGGAGGATCCTGCCCCTCTGCTCAGCCCTGTGAGGCTCATCTGGAGTGCTGTGTCCAGTTCTGGGCTCCTCAGCTCAACAGGGACATGGAGCTCCTAGAGCAGGCAGGTCCTGTCAAAGGCAATCATTAGGGGATTGGAGCATTTCACTTAGGAGGAAAAGGTTTACAGCTGGACTCAATGATCTTAGAGGTCTTTTCCAACCTGAAAAATGCCACAATTCTGTGAAAGGCTGAGGGAGCTGGCCCTGTTCAGCATTGAGAAGAGACAACTGAGAGGGGACCTCATCAATGTGCGTATCTGAGGGGAGGATGCCAAGAGGATACAGTCAGGCTCTTTTTAGTGGTGCTGAGCAATAGAATGAAAGGCAAAGGGCCAACAGCGAATGCAGGAAGTTCCACCTTAACATGAGGGAGAATTTCTTTCCTGTGAGTGAAACTGAGCATAGGAACAGATTTTCAGAAAAGCTCTGGAGTCCCCTTCTCTGGAGATATTCAAAAGCCATTGACGCACAATCTTGAGTAAGATGCTCTAGGGAACCCTGCTGGAACAGGGAAGTTGGACTAGACTACTTCCAGTGGTCCCAAAATTACCCATTCTGTGGTCCTGTGGGGAGACAGAAAATTTGTGTAGCATAATTCACACTGCTTTTTTTCAGATCATTAAATGGAAAGTGCTATGCAAACATTTGGTAAGAATTTACTTCTGAGTTTTATACTTTCTGCTCTTAAATTATGTAATGATTTTAAAATGTGTAGCTTCCAGAAACATCTTCCCTACCTTTATAATGCTCTGACATGTTGAGAGTGGTAAACCAACCAAGCTGGTCCCATTGATTGACATGATCTGGTCCCCTATGTTCAGCTTCCCAGACTTCTCTGCTGGTCCTCCATGCATCATGTTGGCTATGATAACTGTAGGCAAAATGGATCCCCAGCCAGACTCCACAATCACCACACCTAGAATTTCTCCCTTTTGCTTTTCAATGTAAACCTGTATAGTAAGAAAAAGTGTTTAAAAAAAGAGTTTATTTCACACCCATGGAACTAATATCATCCCACTCCAAACATTCACAAAGCCAACAAATATATCCCTCTTAATTTGCAACTTGCCTTCCTAATTCAAAGGCAGAACAAGATATGGTGCATGTTTTTCTACCTTTCATTTGCACTCAAACATTAAATGAGACACAATACAGACTTAGTGCTGAACACCCCTCAGAAGTAATTTCTGTTTATGAGAAGAAGAAATTTCAGTGAAGGAAATCCTGGTGCCATGGGCTTTTTTGGACAAAGCTAAATAAGAAGAGATTGAAAGAGTTTACAACTTTGCATTGGAAAAACATGACCTGTGTGTTCCATTGCACACTGGTATATTTTCATTAAGCAAGCTGCAAAGCCTTCTGGCCCATACACTTATTTAAAACCTGGAATCAATCATGTTCATAAACACTGCTGCATCTATAAATTTTTTGTTGTTCACTGAATTTTTTTTAAATTTTATTAATCTGTTAATCTGCTTTAAGTTTGCTTACAAACATGTTTGAAATTTTTTTTGGTGAAAATAACAGAACCAGATGGTAAATCAGTTGACTGATGATGAATTTGGGGTTCACTGTCTTTGAAACAGAACTGACGACAGGGTGTCCTATAATGGAGGATATTCTAGACTAACTGAGATAATCTACAGGAAGTATTAATGGTTTTTTAGATTCTGCCAACACAGACCTGCAACTAGTAAATAGCAGCCAAATATTTGTGAAAACAAAAAAAGAGACATACATCTTTGCAATTTTCAGATTTGGAGAAGTGAATCAGATCATCATTGTACATGTCCTGGGTATTAAGCAAGTCGCTATATTCCTTCTGGCTAAGGTCTTCTGGGTTGATTCCATTTGCCCTCAGAAATTCTTGGTAGGCCACACTAAATGCTTGACCTATGGACTGTGCAATCAGCTGTGCCTGTAGCAGTTCCCAAAGAAGGGAAAAGGAAAGAAAAAAAGTGAAACATTCTGATGATCATGTCCACTGACACTTTCTGTTACAATCACACTGTAAAATGGATCATCAATTGATGAACCCACAAGTTACTGAAATTCCAGTCTAAAAAATATTTGTGCCTTACAAATTAATTTTAAAGACTCATAAAATGTCAACACATTCAGCTCTACCATGAATCTAGCTCAGTAAGCAATTATAAATTACAAATATGAGAAAGACATCCTTTCACAGGTAGGAATTACTAATGTAAGCGTAAAGATAGAGCCACTGCGGCAATTGTGGCTTGCATCTACAATTCTTCCCACACATTTGCCCCCAGATGGCTCTCCCTTCCAGCAAAGGCAATGTCATTGTCTGGCAAGCCAGTAGTGAAAATGAAAATGTCTACTAAGGAACACACAGCCACATTTAAAAGGGTATTTCCAACTTTTCTTACCATCAGTTATGACATTGATAGTTACTACTCCTACCTCAGCCTCAGCCAAAAAAGGAAAAAGGCAGCAACTAGTGACCAGATCAAGCCCTTAAAAAAAGGGCAGCATGGTCAAAAAATGGTCATATGCATCTCCTTCTTCACCCTGCTACTACATTCAGCTTCTATCCCCTATACTTATTTCCCTCCCTCTAAATCACATGATCCTGCCAGTTCTCTGCATCTTTCTTACTCATTCTGGCCTTTGTAGTTAAAGGTACACCTCTAAATAGTTGAAAATGTGGTGCTGTCCTCCTTAGACAAAGACTCTTCCAATCAGAGACATGTTCTGGCCAACACCTGCTTGTAGGCTTACAGCTTCTGTTTCCCTTACTGTGTAGATTCTGACAAGTACCCAACTGCTCCAGAAGAAAAAAAGACAAGTTTTATAATACAAACAGGCAGTAATACTTCACTGGAGGTACAAAACGTTGAAGCTGCCATTTCCTTGCTGCTAACAAAGTGCTGCAGTCCTTCCATTCTGACTGTTAGTCAGTTCAGTATTTGAGATAAATTCAGCAAGTTACCTGTGAGCTATATACCATGACTAAGGAGAGCGGATATAATCTGCAGTTTCTCAGCATATTTTCCCCATCAATGAGCAATGCTTTTGTTGGATCTACAGGCATTTTACAAACCAGCTGGATTTACAGGCATAAAGATGATTACACATGACACAAATACAGACTGATTCAAATAAATCATAGATCAGGAAGCTCAAATTTTAGCGCACCAAAGTATCAAGAGCAGACTAGGAAACAGATCCAGTAAGTATGGATCATGTAAAAGATCAGACTACTCCATGGTGAAGGAAAATAAGCCCCAGACTCTGGCACCTGACAGTTTGATTTCTGCTTTTTCAACTGGCCAGTAAAAGCAGTGTCCAAATTTGTGACTAGAAACAACAGGAACCCTAGGAACAGCAGCCTCAAAGTAGGTAGCATGCCAAATGTTATTAAACAAAATGTTATTAAGCAAAAAATACATTGGCTACTGCATTTCACACCAGATTCTTAAAAGGCTTTGCAAAACAGGTTTGCATGTTATTCTGTGGAAATAATCCAGAATTTTTATACTCTATCAATTTTGGTCCAGGATTACTTTCATCAGTGCTCATCCTTACTTTTTAACCTCAACAGTGGGTCATGTGTACACATTTATGTGCAATAATATAGTCATGTGCAATAATATATTCAGATAATATATTCAGGCATAGGTTTAGAACAGATTACATGAAATCATTACATTTAATCAGTTCTTTATTCAAGAAAACCTTCCCATCTCAAAGTCCTTGCTGTTCACTCTAGTTTGGAAGACATAGAAGAAACTGGTATTTTTACTTGCTTCTCTTGAGTATATTATTTTACCAGATTATTACAGCTAATTTGGTCCTAATGATCCTAAAAACTACATATCAAACCACATCAATGTAATAAGTTTGATTTTACTTTTCAGTTACTGAAAGTTACTTTTTAAAAGATCATAAAATCAGCAAGTTATACACAGATTGTGAAGACAGGAGATCAAATCCTACGTCAGGCAACTTAGTCTTGTGTAAAGTACCTTAAACGCGCTATAGATTAAAATTTAGTAATTTGTATATTCAGTATATTTTGGGATTTCTGACGTCACAAGCTTTGTTTGCTGGCTTTTTGATAAGATGATAGCAACTACAGCCCCAACACAAACCTCCAGAAAAATAAAAAATCACTTTTCTGGTATGCATTAGTGATTGATCCTCAATGCAAGACTTGGGATTAGAATTTCCCTACAAAAATAAGACTTTCCCTCTCTTATGCAAAATTTGAGCTGGTATTTGTAACCTGCAGCAAGTGGACCCTCCAATCACTGTTATGGGAAGACACTCAAGAAGCTTTAAAAAAGTAAGCATTTCTATAAACACCAGCTTCCTATGACATGTCATGTCCAAACATATAAATGGCAGGAAAGTTCCTCTGTTCAGATAAAATACTGGGTGCAGTTAAAAAGCAAACAGGACCACTCATAATGGACTTTGAGCCTATCAAAACATGCTTACTTTTCCAGACCTAGAAAACTACAAGACAATGTAATTGCTTACATCCTCAGACTCAAAGACGTGACAAATCATTTTGTACTGCCTCTTTCCATCTTGAGAGGGGTGAGATGCTTCCACATTATCCTGGGAGTTAGAGCGTGGCATTCGCCTACGAGCCATCAAAACAACTATATTTCCTATATCAGCAATGTAAGAAATGGTCCGCAGGGGATGATCCATCATGGTTTCCTGGGGAATAAGAAAACTAACATAAGCAACTGTTTCAACTAAGTTCTTATTGCACATCTAGTATTATCAAAACACACAAATAATGTAAGACCTCTGCTAGGTGAAGTCTGTAATACCGGTCATGCATGAAGGGAAATACAATAGAAACCAAGAACTCCACTTTCCAAAAATAAAACAAACAAAATTTTAGAAGGATTTTTTTTTTCCTGTGGAAAAGCCCATCAAGACCTCAGCTGCAGAACCTGCACATGCTGAGCTTGTATGTGTACAGGACTATGAACAACTTATTGCATCTAAGCATTTTGGGCTACTCTGGACAGAATCAATACTTGACATAAGCTGACTACAATTATCTTACCCAAAAATTTGAATTATTTCTACAATCAGACAAACCAGAATAATTGCTTGTATGACATTGCTCTTGACCACGGATTTCTGACTAGAGGGGAATACAAGATCCAGCACATTTTAAAGACAAATTTTAAATGTAAATGAAAGTCTATTCCAATAGTCTACTCCAACAATACTGACAAAAGTGTCTATGTCTATACCTGTGTGTCTGCATTCAGTACTTTTATTCTCTGTGTAGAAATGAACAGGTCCACTTCAGTCATGGGTTGAGATTCACCTTCTGGAGCCTGTAAACAAATGGACTAGAGTCAAACAAACACATTTGGTAACATACTTACTAAGAATGATATTAGTTCACGAACAGGAGCACACTAAGACACAGTCACCAGAACAGCAACGCAGGATAGAGTATTAGACTGCAGAAGCAAAAGATAAACACAAAGATGTGGAAACTATATCATATATGTGAAAGCGAATTGGATATTGTTTGAAAAAAAAGTTAACGTCATAAAAGCTTGCCTGCTATATTTCCTGATTCAGTAAAATTATACCTGACTGCAACATGAACTATAAAGATTTTTTGAAAAGTAATATGATTTTACCATTTTATGCACACTATGAATCCCACTTCAAATAAGGTTTTCATATAAGCCATAGAAAGGCATAACAGTATCTCCTGCCTGAGGAATTTCTGTTTGGGCTAGCAGTGGCTGCCAAGACCAATGGAAAAACCTGTACCACAGGAGGTACTGTTTGAGCTCTTCATAATGCAGTTCTGGCAAGAAGACCTTCACAGTCAGACAACATATTTTTCAAGCAGTAACCCATTTAAGAAGTAATATTTTGTTAATAGAAAGCAAACATTTTTTGTAATATTTTTAAAATCACATTTGTTAAAAGGTAATTGAAAGTTCTACAAACAAAACGTATTACAAAGATGAGTCAATCTCAGTATATTACTGTATGTATAGACAAAAACTTTTTTTTTGCATCCAGCAATTTGACATCTCTGTGAGTCAAACAAAGCACTCTTACAGAAAGATAAAATTAAAATAAAAAAGTAAAAAAAAAAAATTAAAAACCCAAAACAAACCAAAAAAACCCACACTTCATTTTAATCCATCATTTTACAATGTTTATACCTTTGTCATGTCAGTCCTGATTCTTTAATATGCATTTTGGGTACTGCCTGTAACCATTTGATAAATCCAATCTTTCTTCTATTTCTAACATGAAATGGCTAATGAGAAGCAACAAAAAATGGCCAATCAGGCAACTGATTTCCCAGATATGTCAACTTGTATGGTGGTTCAGAAATAAATCTGATAAAACCTTGCTGGATGCAGAAAATAAAACCACAAAATAAAAAGAAAGGGAAAAACCCTCCCAGAAAACAAAAGAACAAGTATAACATCAAGCTGATGGAGTTTGTACTGCACCTTCTTCCTGCTTTTGGCTAATTTCTGGGCCATCTGCTTAGCATGGAACAAACAGAGACAGGAGAACAGTTAGAGAAGAACTCCAAGTCAAGCAGGAATCTACAAACTAATGTCAGGGCTCACAGACTACTAGCTGGTCTAAATTAGTCCCTGCTTAGATTAATTTCCTCCTTTTCTTTTTAGCTTAAAAAGTTGTAAAATTTCATATTTAGCACAATTAATTTCAGAAATAAAAAGAAAGAGCACCAAAAGAGTCAGGAAGAACACAAAAGGATTTCTTTTTCATTTAAAATGTTACTTGCAACAAACAAGGTTATTTTGTGCGCAATTGTTTTTGAGGTTTAGTGGAGGGAGGATGGTTTAAGAAACAGAACAGAGCTTCCCTTCACTTATAGCACTGTAAACCATGAAGTGATTTCTTTTGAAGATACACCAATGTAAAAGGTAGAGAAAATTTGTATGCCTTATTATTACAGGTTTTACAGATCTCATACTTTTACAGACTTAAAAAAAAAATAACCTCCCTAACACTATGCTGCTTTTTCCTGGAAAAATTAAAAGACTGAAGGTGACTTTCATTTTAGCCTCCTTCTGAGCAAATAAATCTGTACCAATGTTCACACAGTGAACTGGTCAACAAATTTTCCTGTGACACCTACACAAAGATATGTCCACACTATCACATTTTTTCAAGTAAGCAATGGAGCATGTATTTCAGCTCCAGAAACATGTACTAGTAGACATTTCTACTAACAATCCAAACAAACATAATTTTTACAGTCTTGCAATCATGAATTCAAACCAACGGTGAACTGAAGTTTACAGACCTACTCACTGAAGGAATTCAATACTCACCAGGCTGGCAATTAGCCCTTAACTTCCAACAGTAACAGGCTCTTTGCTAATTAAATTTACAGGTGTGTTTGTGGTAGGAAAGAGGCTCAAAGTTAGCACTAGATACTTTTACAAAGAGCAAATAGGAGGCCTGAATCATGAGACACATCAAACTTTTAATACTGATGCTCACAACTTAAATCTGTTAGGTTTTGTCTGAACAAATCTAAAGCAGCTACTTAAAGTTTAGGCTATGGTGCTTATTTACAAATAGAAACAGTCTCAAAATAGCTTTTAGTCACCTTTTTCAAATTAAGAAATATTTTATAGCCTGATAGGTTATTTTGCAACAGGTGATGGCAAACTATTGCAAAAGCATTTAAAACTGCCTTACATGGCAGGTTCTTCATTACTTTACTCTCAATTTAAATTAATACTCAGAAATAATATACTTATATTGAGTAACAGCTGCCTGTCATACACTGGGCAAGGAGGAGATACTCCAGAGAGAGAGCATTTAGATAGCTTTCCAAAATCAAGTTTTTCTTTCTCACCCTTCCCAAACTTTAGAATGGATGGTGCAGGGAGAGAGCGAAATCCTTGAGCTATAACTTTATAGTGTAGAATAAACAATTTATCAAAATATGCTATAATTCAATTTACTGAAAATTTTGAAATTTTGTTCTTCAAATGGAAGCATATGAAAGAACTACTTTCAATTATTTCATAAAATAAGGCAATGATATGGATCAAGCACCTTTAATACGTGATTTAACACTGCACAGAAATGTCACAAAAGAAGTTATGGTCCATGAACAACAAAAAATTAGGATAATTCTATGCAAGATACTTTATTAGACAAATCTGCTTTATCACCGCATTATTTTGCTAACTCAAATCAAAGATTATTTCTGTATTCCTAGAAGAAAAAAAAAAAAAACAAACAGAATATACCAAATCCACACAATTTTTAAAAATATATTAGAATACAGGATTTTCATTTAAGGTAAATTAAACGTATTTATCATATAGATGTAACTTCCAAAATTACATACATTAAAACTCAACAAGCCTCTATTTTTGTTATAGAGAGGTCCTAAGTTTATTCAATCTATTTAGTCTCTACAAAAACTCTTCTGCAACTCATTGAGCATTGAGAGGACACTGAGTGGGTGAAAATGTGTGAAATATGAAACTAAATATCCCCATATAGGTTTTATCTTAAATTACGTTCAGGAATTAAACCAGGTGTTACCTAGAAATGTTCAAACCTGCCCCACAGCATGCTAGAAGTGACTCCCAGTGAAATATTCCTAACTACATTTGATGAACACCTTCAAAGCAGTGTATCTGTTTTAACTTAGCTGGACTTCACAGAGATGAAGGTCAAGCAAGAAAACACCCAACTCCTGTACTTTTAACTGAAAAGACACTTATTTAAAGAAGAAACCTGGAGAATTGTTTTCAAATCTGTTCACATTCCAAATGAATGAATATGTGGTCTAAAGGCTCTGCTAAAATGAAGCAATTTAGGGATTATTAAATTCAGACAGTATACACTTTTGTTAAGGTATAAATAGCAGGGCTTAAACAAAGCTCTTCACCTCTTTTTAATACTCAGCTTCAAGTTTATTTTAAAAGCTCATTCTTAATTCATAAGCTTTGTTTTCTTCAACAATGGAGAAATGGTTGACATGCAACAAGTATGGCACTCTGTAAACAAACATGAGTAGGGCACATCCTTCATAGTCACTGTGAAAGCCATAATTTACACATCTGGGATATAGAATATCTCATGCAGTGATGAATTTGGCAGCAGGAACTCCATCTGTCATAATGAATTTCTCTCTGAAAATGTTTAGCTTTATTGGCAACCAGCAACAAAACCAGCCAAAGCCAACCCTAATAAGCCAAGAAGCCTATGGTGCAGGACAATTGCTTGTGCTTTACTTAGAAGCAGAAAGCAGTAACTGTCCAAGAAGTCTTCAAAGGTATTGTGTACAATAAAAGTCAATACTTTTCTGAAATATACTGAGTTTCATAAAATTAAATACACCAGCTAGGGTTTCACCAGGTCACAAATGCTTTAACTTGGGCCTCAAGACTGAGACAAATAAGAAAGGATATACATGCCTGCTGATTTATGTAGATGCACAAATCATGGCGTTTATGAGCGAAATGCATGAAATAGATTTCTTCTGTTTTGATACACAGAAATGCTGAGGCACAACAGAATCCTCAGAACAGTACTCTGTTAATGAATTTCTACAAAATACATTTTGTATCAGAGAAAGATTCTATACTCTTATACCTCTTAGGCCCAGTTTGAATCAATTTGGTTTCGTTTTTGTCTGCAATCTTTTTCTAATGTGTATTCCTACACAGGTTTTACCTTCTAGGTGCAAACTCCCTGTGCTTCAAGTTCCACTCCTGATACCTATTTCCTATGACAGCTCATGCTGATCTTTCCTTTTACCCTCCAGTGACGTGACCTTCCTAGATCCAGTCTCACCAAAACCCTTATTTCTCTCCCTTACCTTTAGTTTCCCATTCACTCAAATCAGACAAGTTTTCTAACACACAGTCAAGCATCAAGAAGGAATACAAAGAGAATAAACAGAAGGGCACAGCCGTATTTGCCCAGAGCAGGAAAAAAACAGACTCTATAAGAAAAACTCTTCACTGCAGGTTTGGGGAGAACTCACCAACACCTGCCATTGTTGAAAAAGCTGCAAGAAATATATTTTTAAAGAATGTCGCTTAATCCAGAGTCACCAATGAACAAAGAAAAATCACTCTTTTGCAAAAAGTTCAGTAGTTCAATACAGTGCAGACTTCCACAGAGATGGTGGAGTATAATCTCTAACAGGAAGGCTATATTCCTGCCTTTCCTAAAATGTGAGCGTTTATGATTTTCAGAGACAAGGTTACAAGAACTTATGCATTTTGAACACCAGCAAAATCACAATTTTTATCAGCTTCTGTGTTGAAGTTATATACAGAGACTAAACTAAACATTTGCCTAAACTGCACATGGAAAGCAGTGGAAGGAATAAAAGGAGTAGGAAGCATCAGCTGACCTTAACAGACTATTATTGGTCTTGCAGATAACTTTCTCTCCTCTTCCTCTCTCTTTTATATAACTGCATACCAAATCTGAGTTGGAGTAATAAATAAAATATACAAAATAAAATATACAAAAAAAAGAACACACAGATATTAAACTAAGAAAAATTCCCAGAGTGGGTTGTGTTGATTAGCTGAATTAGCAGAAGATGAAGCTGTAAGCCTACTAGCCAGTCATGTATGGGTAGTGGGAATGTTGCAGCATCCTATACAACTGTGCAATACTTCGTTTACACACCTTAATTTCAGCTGACAATGTCACAATTGTAACTTACAGCACAGCAACATTCCCATTGCTGGAAATAGCTTGTACAGAAATCAGTTGGAATTTCTCTTTTGAAACACAAATTTTCAGATTCCAGGACAAATTATTTTTTCCACACTTCCCTGTACCATCATAGGCTTTTTTTTTTTTTTTAATCAGCTCATAGCTGTTATGTGTGGAGAAACAAGTGTCCACAACAGGATCAAAAATAACTGCACAGTAAATAACTACCACAAAAACTGCACAAAAATAACTACCACAGTTGCAGTTCTATTGAGTGCCAAGCCAGAAGCAGCCACAATACTTACTAGTTATTTCCTTACCCTGTTTTCTCTCCACACCCAGATAATATAAAACTTTGATCACCACTCACTTCAGATTCTGGTTTACAGTACACAGCACAAGTATCACCATAGAAAATTAAAATGACCTGGTAACATCCCCTTATCAGTTTTGTTCCATAAGCAGCATATGCGATTCATTTTTCAAAGGAAAGGTGAGGCACTTTTCGTTCTGAAACTATAGATAACCCCACCTGAAAAGTTTATTGCATAAGAAAGAAGTTCATATCCACAATCACAAAACAGCCATACAAAAAGCAGCAGAGTTACTCCTCACCTTGATCCTGCTGACAGCTTCCTGAGCCTGCATCATTCTCACATTCTTGGATGGAGTTTTATCAGAAAGGAGTTGAGTTGAACCAAGGTAATTGGCAGCAAAAATGATTCCATCAATTAAGTCTTCAGGATCACAAGGTCCAGGAACTGTAACACAGGAAAGCCATCACTGAAGTCAATCACGGTGAAACACAGCAAAAGCAGAACTGTGACAACTTAAGTCTGCACCTCATGGCTGCAAATCCTCCTCTGAAATACTTCAGTTTAGCATGGCAAAAAGACAATCAGTATTTTCAAAGGCACAAAACATCAAACAAAAGGAAATTTGTGGTGGATTGAGCCTGCCCACCAAAACCCTTCTATCAGTCCCCTTTTCAGAAGAGTGGGGGAGAAAAAATATGAAAGTCTCATGGGGCAAGGCAAGAACTGGGAGAGATCACTCATCGTTTGCTGTCATGGGCAAAACAGACTCCACTTGTGGAAACTTGTTTCATCTATTACTAATGAAGTCAGAGTAGAATAATGAAAAATAAAAACAGATGCTACAACACCTTCCCCTATACCTCCCTTCTTCCTGGACTCACTTTTACTCTCAATTTTCTTTATCTCCTGTACCCAGAAGTATAGGGGAATGGGGGTTGTGGTCAGTTCATCACATGCTGTCTATGATGCTCCTACTTCATCATGGGGAAGAGACCTCACATTCTTCCTCTGCTCTAGAATGGGACACCTCCCACAGGAGACAATCCTTCAAAACAGACTGCTCTGGTGTGGGCTCCCTACAGCGTCACAAGTCCTGCCAACAAGCCTGCTCCAGATGAGCTCCTCTCTCCACTGGGCCACATATTCTGCAGGGAGCCTCCTCCAGCCTGGGATTTCCATGGGGTCATAGCCGGATTTTTTTGGGCATCCACATAATCTGGCATGGGGTCCTCCAGAGTCTGCTTGTGGGTTCCACAGTGTAGCTCAATTGGCTAGAGGGGCACAACTGCCTCACCATGGTCTTCACTATGGGCTGCATGGGAATCTCTGCTCTGGCACCTGGAGTGTCTCCGGTCCTTCATACTCTACTGACCATGTCTTCAGAGATCCTTCTTTTGCACATTCCCAGTCCTTTCTTCTCCAGCTGCAGTTGCTGTGGTGCAGAGCCTTTTCCCCCTTCTTAAATACTTTATCCCAGAGGTGCTACCACTGTCACTAATGGGTGCAGCTTTGGCCAGTGGTGGGTCTGTCTTGGAGCCAGCTGGTGCTGACTCTATCAGACAGGCAGGAAGCTCCCAGCAGCTTCTCATGGAAGGCACCCTTGTAGCCACCCCACTACCAAAGCCTTGCTACACAAACCCAGTACAACACTGCTCCAGCAAAAGCTACAATTATTAATCCAGCCTGTTTCTCACAATAGCTCATTCTTTTGTGAGTAGGGATCAGCTTGGACCAAAATAACCTGTGATTTTTCACTGGGAAAAAGGGACAGATGCAGTTACTCAGCTTGCTCCTCACCCACCAAAAACAGCCTTGAAATTCTCAGACCAACAGTCACAAGCAGAAAGAGGAAAGGTGCAGTTTCATAGCAGCCATCAGCCTCTTTTCTTGCTTGTTCATTAACCACAGCTGGTGCAACAGGCAGAACAATCTTCTGGGGAATGCTCTACACATACCACACATCACAATATTTTTATGCCACAGACCTTTAAAAATAGTAGTCTTAACAAGGATACTGTGGCAAAGTACTGAGTTAAATAAAAATCTTACTAAATACACAGAGCATGGGCTCTCTTGATGGCAAAGCAACACTCTTTGTCTACAGATCCTTAGAGATCCAACACCCATCAACTTCTGTGGAAAGTGACGGGGTGTAAAGTGCTCCCAACCAAGCAATGCAAATCCTTACAAACCAGCACTTATGATTTGTAAGATTTTTGGCATTTGCAACTTTATCTAAAAATTTTATAGATTAAAATATTCCATTTTGACACCACATTAAAACTGATTCATGATTCAAAAGCGAGGCTGGTTAACTTAAGAAATTTCCTGTTCTTAGAAGTAAGGGGAAACAATTGTTGTTCAAGACAAGTGAGAATATAAATCATATTAAAGAATGATCACAGTAAATATATTCACATTTTATCACAAAACACCTGTATTTATGTTTGTATTTATTTTTTGCTCTAAAATCAAGGCATATCTTGTACTATAAGGTGATGGGACTTTAAGTTCCAAATTACTAAGAATGACAATTTTGTTCTAATGATAACATATAAGACTAACAACCTCTCAGAATGAGCATGGGTAGCTTTGGCTTCAAGGAAAAGCAAGTCATTATTATGATTTAAAAAAAAAGAAAGAGCTGGAGACAAATATTACACAAACTATACACATAGACAGAAGCACATGTATAAATCTTGTGAGCAGGCTTAACTTCCTTATAATTTCTTTAAATACAAAAATTTATGACTAGCAATTTTAAGATGCTCCTCTCCAGTGTGCAGTTTGCTCAGGCAGTACTATCTCAAAAATTCTAAAAATGAGCAAGTCACTTGCAAGCACATGACCTAAAGAAATTGAGTCATTTCCTTCAGGAAACTCCTGCATCTGGAAATACTACATACTTACACCGAAATCACACAGCATTTTAAGTGTTGCTATTTATTACTCTACACATCAAGGCCTTTTCATCACTTCCACCACTATACTGAAGAGGTGCAACACCTTTTATAGTACAATTTCTGATCAAAATGAGGAAAAAAAATGGGCAAAGGTGTAAGACCCCAAGAAAGTGCATAACCCCAAAAAGGTACATGCTCCAATTGCATCAGAGGTGAACACACAGAGAGCATTGTTTTTTAGAATACTTCCTCCTTTTATTATCTCTGATAACAAAACTATTATCTCAATGAAAACATAGCATGGCAAATTTTTCCTTGCACTGCTGGTGCATAAAAATGGAACATTTGTAATTTTAAGGAATTTTGTGCTGGACTAAAAACCAAGAAAATTTGAGTGTACAATTTATTGTTTTTTCCTAAGGTGGAGATAATTACTTTTAAAATATAGATATATATTCCTATATATAAAATAAAGTCCCTTGATAGACAGGACTATCAATAGGAGATTAATTTAAATTCTAAGACAGAGTCTTCATTGTTGCAAAATTCCAATGCTTAGCTATGAACTAACTGACATTCTAGCCAGAGAATCCACACCAGGCAGCTTAAACTCTGAAGACTAAAACAACAGTCGATTTGTAGTCTGAAGAAAATGAGCACATTCTCAATTAAACACAGTACACTGTAAAGCAATCCAAGGAGTGACAAGGAAGTCCAAATAAAGTATTACATCAACTGTATTTCGAGAATTTCATCATGCACATGGAACAACTACTGTCAAAAGAAAAGTAAAAAAAAAAAAAACAAAACAATGAAACTTCTATTTTCTGCTTCTGTCATAACTGCACACAACTTGTGTTCCTCCTGCAGTATATACAGGATACAGACTCATACAAAAGGCAACAGCAGTTCATGTGGTGGTAGCTTGCTTTTTCACATTGTTCCAAAAAAACTCAGAACTACTGAAACCTTAACTCTGAGATGGGAAGCAGTGCTCAGGTAAGCGGCAAATAGCTGTTGAACAAAGCAGACTTTTACTGGCAGGCCTGCCCATAAATCCAGCTGAGATTAGACTGAGCCTGCCAATTGAAGTCAATGCTGGACAGAACAATATAGTCTTCTTGCTTAGTCTGTTTTCCTGGTCCACACATATTCTTATGTGTTGTGTAAATACCGTAAAGAAAGCAGTGTCTTAAGTGATACTGAGGAAAAACACCTGCATAACTGATACAGAAACAATGAATGAAAATGAATAAAAAACAAAATGCTCCATGCTTCCAAATTTCTGAAGGAGCATAGTAGGATATAGCTCAGGTTCTGAATTAGACACAATTTAATCTAAATCAGCACACCCAACTTTAGTAGATTTTCTGTTCAGCAATAAAAGTAAAATTTTATACATCATAAATACAGATGGGGTTTTTGATGTGAAAAAAACATTTAGAAACTGTAGAACTATCTTACCTTCAACATATGTTGGAAATGAAGCCAAGCTTTTTCTGGACTGTAATTAAGACAAAAAGGATTTCAAACAGAACATAGCATGCACAAATATACGTTAAAAATTTCTCCGTGCCAAAAAAAACCCAGACTTAAATAAGCAATAGTTATTAGTATAGATAGAACCACTTATTATTATTTATATTTAGTATTTTCAAGATCTAAGCACCTACTAGAGTAAATTCAATGTATTCCATTTGTGTCTATTTAGTAGACAATATGGTAAGACCATTTGGTCTTCACTAGTGCATTAATTATCTACCAATAGGTGCACTACTTTTAATAATCAAGAAATATGGAGGAATGTACCTCAAAGATACTGGCTCTTCCAACTACAAATAAATGCATACAGGAATATAAAAATTGTACTTTACTGCTATAATTCATTACTTAAACCATCATTAACAGAACACAGTTATTCATTAAGAAATGGTTTTAGATGTACCCCTTATATTAACAGTGCCTACAAAAAGCTTTCTAGATTTTAAAAGGTTAAGGAGCAGACTCTCCTCTGTTATCTGGGACAACCAGATTTACCACGACCTCACCACCAACTGTGCTTACATAATTTTGAGCACAAAATCACATTTGGTAGCACCAATTACATAAATAGTGAAGGAATAAATAGTATCTTGAATTGTGCATGTAAATACACACACTAAAGTAATACCATACATCCTACTGGTATTTTCTGTGAAAGACTATGGGACTAACCCTTCAGATATCTGACAGCTACAACTTTCAGTGAGTGAGATTCACCACTTTGTTTAATTAATAATGTAAACCATATACAAATATTTATCAAACAAAATTGTGTGTGGCACTATATAATTGATAATGGATATATTGAAATACCTGCTGCTATCATAGGCAGGTAAGTGGATAGTTAATGAATCTGTAACCAATTGTACTAGCAATAGGTCCTCCAATGACTGCTTAATATCATTATACTGAAAGAAAATCTATACGCATGATCAGAATAATGCATAAAGTCTTGAATAATTCTCAGCATTTTTCCAGATGATATACATGGAAATACATGCCAAATTACTTTTCTTTATAACAGGCAACTTACCAGGGTCTGTAATAGGGGAAAACCCAGGTAAAACTAGAAAGATGACAGTTATGTAACAGGTTGACTGACTTAACCCAAAGGAGTCTTCTCCTTTGTCAGATATGGAAAATTGACATAAATAATATTTTTAACCAACAATGCATGTCTTGCAACAAAATAAAATACGAGAATTAAAAACGAAAGCATGTGGCACAGACAACTGAGCCTGTGTAAACTGTAAGTTCTGTTCATTCCCTAGGAAAATTACTAAGCTGTGTTGAGAATCTAAGAATCCTGTCCATCAGGTTCTGTACTAGCATTGATAAAGATGTCAATAATTAATGATCTGCTGCTGCCAATGCATTTCAGCTGCTGTGAAGTCATTGACATGCCTTTTCACATCTGTGGGTCTTTCACCTCTCCAGATGAATGCTCCTACTGAACCAGCTACCCATAAACTCCAACAACTGTTTGTAATAATTGCTGATTTAGTGCTAAAGGCGGCATTCAAACATTGGGCTCTGACAGGCATAAAGGACAAATCCCCCACAAACAAGAGGCAGCTCACATACATAAATACTTTACAAAGTATTTCTTTCTTTTTAAGCAGTGAACAAAATCTTTGATACAGATTTAACAACTGTTCAGCACTCTTAAACAGAAATTTATTTTCAAGACAGAGTGGTGCATCGTATATGTCTTTATTTTCACACACAAATATAATTTTTCTTGTTCATTACCCAGGTAGAAAGGCATTCTACTAAAACGATTAAGAGAGTAAAGTAACAGGTAAAGTTACCAATAGGTAGAAACCTACACCTTTTAATTTTACATAGCCATGAATAATGAAATATCAAGGTCATTAATATTTCATTACTTTCAATGATCTTGCTGCCATCTGGTATTATAAATTTATATTTAATAAAAAGGTTTCTCTAAGACCTAAAAATCCAGAAATTATGAGGCTGTTTTATCACTTTTATTCTTGCATTAGAAATACTAAAGTGGGAATTATTCTCCATCTGAGGGAAACTAATAGCCCAATACATTCTACACTGACACTTGGTTTACAACCTCTGTAATTATGTGTAAGCACATCCTAACAATGGAAATCAACAGTGTTTTGCTTGTTTTCTTTCTTTGGATTAGTTTATCAATACCTAAAAATAGCTAAAATATAGAATACATAGTGACAAAGTCTGTAGGGAAGAATGCTTAAGGCTTTAATAAGCTAACAGTAAGCAGATGAAAACTTAAAGGTATGATCTATAGTCAAAACCTTCAGAATATGAAAATGCAAATGCAGACTGGCACAATTACATACATGTTACAAGCTTTTCTATCCCTTGATAATTGCTAAAGTATAAAGGAACAAATGGATTATTTAATTAGTGTTTAATTTTTAATCCACTTAGTAGTAGATCAGGTTTTTAGTTTTGGAAGATGACTCATCCATTGCCACCAGTAACAATATGGTATTTTGTTATGGTAGTTTCTAGATCGTTTTCATGTTTGTGAAGAAAAGGCAAATAAACCAAATTTTTGGTAGATTTTTCTGTTTACAGAACCTGCCACTCTATACTAATCCAAATCCTTTTTATGTCAAATTATTTTCTTTTCACACTATGAGCAGTTCTATTCACACTTATTTTGTTTTGGTGGAACTACTGCAGTCTAAAGCACTACCAGGTGAGGGGAAAGCCCCAACTATGTAGCTTTATTCTGAGAAGCCTGGAGTCCGGAACTGAATTCCGATTAAGAATCGCTTGCAGGCCAGTTTCTACAACGACAAAATATTAAGAAACATAATTTATTATGTAATAACTTAATTCAAGGACTTTTTCATCTGGCTGACAAATACTCTTTATTAGTGGGGGGAAAAGGAAAAGTTTGTTTGTTTGTTTGTTTTTTTCTCTGCTACAGAGGGGATATTGGCTGTTTGGTAAATCAGTACCCTGCAGCCTGTTAGACAAATTTAATGACAGCTGAACACAGAGTCAGAAATGCCACGACAAAGAGTCTTCAGTATGTGAGAAATGCAGTCAAACAGCCGGGCAAGCATAAGGTAAAGAAGCATGAGGGGAAAAAAAAAAGAAAAGGAATTCCATAGTTACGAGGGAGCAAGGAAAATAAAAGGCATAAGCAGCATGAACCAGACTGTGGCCTTTAAAAAGGTTTTACTCTACCTCTTTATTAGTGGAAGCCTCTGCTGTACTGCAGACATCCTGCTGATGTTGTCTGCTTGATGATTCAGCACCTCGAGGTGAAGAGGAATCTGGAGATGGAGACTAGACATTGCAAGAAAATCAAAAGTTATTGTGAGTGCTTGATGTAGAAATTATTCTTTTATTTTCTGCATCCTATGCTTTGACATTCTAAGAAAGAAAAGGCAAAGTCACTTAAGAGTAAGCTGTGATGGGAGATAAGTGAATTGACCTTAAACAGCACACAGGGATTCAGCTAAAGTTTATTTAATTGTCAAAGTGGGAAAAAGTAATAAAAGACTGAAATTTCCCCATAAGCACACAGGCCACCAGGTATTATTAACCTAAGTGCTAAACTAATCTAATCTGAGCAGAGGAAGGTCACAGTGGCTGACCATAAGGGTTATTTCATTATCTTAGAATACAACTTCTATAAACTGTGAAGAGCAATATTGATGTATTCAAGAATGTGTTAATATATTCAATGACAATTCAATACCAGTGTAATCAAGGACTGGGATTCCTCAATCTAGGTACAGTAAAGACTTGGAAAATATTAACAGTTCACGCTATCAGCTCAGTACATGCTCTTTAGATCAGACTTCCTCATTCTTCTCCTTTTTCCATAAACAATTCAGTGAAGAAATTGTCTATGTGATTGATCAACAAGTATCTTGATAAAGGGGAAGAACATTTTAGGAAAGGATATTCTAATCACAGACAATGCCTAATAAATTCTGGTGATGTGAAAAAGCTGTAGCAAGGTATCTGAAGTACAGAGCTAGGGATCCTGGTATGAGGGTGCGACACAAGTACACAGAATGTGGAATTAATGAAGGTAACCAAAACGAAAGAGAGTATAAAGCTTTAACCCAGCAGGCATTTTTAGAGGCAGATTTTAAGGAGATACCTACATTACATGTCTGCCCAAGCCAAAATGGAAATCCTCCAAAGGGAAGTTTAACATTTACCTACAGCTGGATATTTAGCCCAATAGCCCTGCCATTCTACACTCTACTTTAGCATAGGAAGAGTGCAGCTCAAGCTGTGCCAGCTCAACAGTTCATCACTGATGGCAAAACAAGTCAATGCTATTCTTATCTTTTCATAAACAGTATGACATAGCTTTTCTCTAAGCCAATGACTCATATCAGAAAAGGGATACATTTCCAGTGGACTGAGCTGGCAGCAGCTCTACCCTGATGCTCTGCATTTACTGCAGCTGAAAATTTGAGTTCCATTAGTCTACAAAAAACCCACAAAACCAAACCAAGAACAACAACTAAACCCCCAAACATCTAAGTTTGTCTTAGCCTCTCTTACATACGAAATGAAACAAGAAAACGTAACTTCCTTCTCTACTTCTTTCTCTATACAGACATTCCTCTATCTCAGATAATAACTAAGTATGAAAATTATAGTTAACTAATACGTTTCCAAAGAGTTAAGAAGCAATTCTTTAAAGATATCTCCCATGTTAAAGAGCAGACCCTGCATCTCCCTGTATTTTGAACCACAACTGCAAGACAGAAGATGCAGCTGTGAAACAATCCCTAGAAAGCTGGCATGTAGTTGCACCATCAGACTGAAGAATTACTTTCCACACAAAGCACATGAGCAGGGGCTGTGGGAGAGATACAGGCTACCTTGAGTTGCTGTGTAATTACCAATCAACAGCGACACAGTGATGCAACTGCACAAATGGCAACTTCTGTTTACATAAGGAAGAGTTTTCATGGTGTTCACATTCTTATTATTATGTAGTATTTATACATTAGGCATAAATTTTAAACCTGCATTATACTTTCAATGCATTAATGATACCTAGACATTGTAGCATTCAGCTTTAAACAAGAAACAAAGAAATCAAGTTAAGCATGTGATGTGCACGTGCAAACACACAAAAGCGCTCTTTATAATTGCTGAAAACTCCTATTCACATACTGAAGGATAAAGATTAATGATTTCATTTAAACCAGACAATTAGCATTAAGAAGTGGTGCATTATTTGAAATGTACTAGCAGTTACTCCAGTAGCACTATAAGTGCCTTTACTCAGGTACTTTTATCTATGAAGTATTAGAACTAAGTTATTACATGGCTTTCTACGTGCTCGGTTTGAATGTCTGCTCAAATATGTGTTTTGGAGGAGAAAAACCTCTGAAAAACAACAACCAAACAAACAACCCCTCTCAAAACCAAACCGAGAACTAGAACTACCAAACCCAAATATCAAATGTGTTACAAAGTCTGCTGCATGACATGACATGAGAACTGTCATTGAAAACATTAGTACAGGAAGTCAAGTCCTTGAAGAATTAACACGCAGTTCTCTTTGACATGAAAATGCATTTTTAGAGGTACTGTATATATAACGTGCAAGGAAAGAATGCAGTCAAAGCGATAACAAGAAATATTATGATGGATCATAGTGGATAGATAATTTGCACAGCTGCTCTAAACAAAGTCTAAAATAAAGGCATAGTGACTGTTTCACTTCCATTTGTCATTAACAAAACAAGTTTTAGAAGCCTAGCAAAGTTGTCAGAACACAGTAAGGTCACACAATGCATGCTGTTATTAGGCACAGAGGTCTATCAGTGGAATTAGATGGAATTTTTTACATGCAGCAATAAGAAAGTGATAGCTACCCCTTTTTCTCTTGAATATCTACTTATATTTTTCTCACGATACTCAACCTGGTACATCCAAAAATTCTCCATCTCAATTTTGATGTTGACTCGAACAAACATGCAACCCACTCCACCTGAGAAACCTTCTTTGCTCTTGTGCAGAGGGATTTAGTAACAGAAGTTGTAAAAGGAGAGGATTGTGTTGCATCTAACCTATCCAGGTCAATCACCTGTTTCCTGTACAGTTTATTAAGAGACATGTAACTGACACTGAAAAACTAAAACCAATAAAAGCAGTGTTGTTTTAGGTGCTTTTAGCACCAGATCATTTGAAGAGAGTACAGCCTGAGGGTCACATAGGCTAGGACAGAGAGGATGAAATCACAGAATCATAGAGTCATATAATCATAAAGATCATCTAAATTTTACTGCCCCTGCCATGGACACTTTCCAATAGACTGAGTTGCACAAAGCCCTATCTAGCCTGGCCTTGAACACTTCCAGGGATGCAGCACCTGGATAAACTGCCAGTGCCTCACCACTCCCACAGCAAAGAATCTTTTCTTGTATCTAATCTAAACCTACTTTGTCAATTTGAAGTGGTTCCCCCTTGTCCTATCACTACATGCCCTTGTAAGAAGGTTTTCACTGACCAGTATCCCTAAGTCCTTACCTGTAGAGCTGCTTTCAATGAATTCTTCTTCCAGTTTGTGTTTGGGATTGCCTTGGCCCATGTGCAGGACCTTGCACTTGGCCTTGCAAAATTTCATGAGGCTCTCACCAGTCAGGTCTGCCTCTCAAGCCTACTCATGTCCCTCTGGATGGCAACCCTTCCCTCCAGCATGTTGACCACACCACTCAGCTTGGTATTGGCAAAATTGACAAGGGCACACTCAATCCCACTGTCCATGCTGCTCACAAAGATGTTAAACAGCACTGGTAATTTTTTGTGTTGAAAAAGGTAGTTTATTCAGAGCTTTTTTATAGGACCATGTGTGTGGACAATCAACAAATGCTTCAGAAATTCAAGATTCACTTAAACAACAGGACATTATTTATTTGACACTAATGTCTACCTACAGGCATTATGGCACAGGTATGGCAAAGTCTCCTTATACATTAGCTCAGGAAACAATCAGATAAAGCAAGGCTTTATTTTTAATTTTTTTTTTTTTATTTTAGAAACAGTCCTCTGAAAAGAACCCATAAACATTAGGAAAAGGTCAAAGCACTATCAAATCTTCTGGTCCAACACACAAGTGTAGTCAGGTGCATTCTATCACAAGAACTGCCTTTATCAGGACAACTGTGGCAGTAAATCTCCCAGGTTTTAGGCCAACTATATGATGGCAATGACCTCTCATGTATACAGCTCAAATTCTGTTCACAAAAATACAGACTGCAACCATAGGTTTTAATTGGCATAAATACCCATAAAGAATGAAACTAAAAGCTAATGATTATTAGTTGTGATTGTTGAAAATTTGTTTTAAGTACAGTGGGTTGATAAAAATGATACCAACTTAGCACTTTACGTATACCTGCATACTAAGGCACAATGCATGCAATTCAATTTATAATTCTGACATATGGATTTAACTTTGTACTGTAGTTCTGGTATAACTGCCTCTGCACACACATGCGCTTACCCATCTGTTTGCTGGGCCCAGGACCTGCCTCCCGTCAGTTTGTGCATACATGACAGGACAAGATTATGGGAATCCAGCGCTTCCCTCTGGCTGCCCTGGAGGGCCTGGGACCCTGGCAGGGGGTCAGGAACCCCCCTGTACAGAGCCCCGAGAGGCACTGTCTCTGATCTCTGCCAGGGAAAAGAAGGATGAATTACAAGCTCTGAGTGTTTGATATGAGTAATAAATAAGTGTGGCACAGGTGCAAAAGTAAAATTTTAGGATTCTAGATTAGAGGTTCAAAGGGGACAAGATGGAGGAAATTGGGTGTGTCTTGTCCTTTTCCTCCTTTTTCATGCCCTCCATGTTTCACTGTAGTGTTGGCATTTTTCTATTGGTTTAGGCTGGGGACACACTGTTCAACGTAGATGACAGATATTGGCACATTATTGTAAATATAGTACATGTAATTTCTGGTATATAATGTTTGTACCATCCCACTGAGGGGCAGAGCCCCACACGCTGCCCTGCAGGACAGACCTGCGGCAGGGCAGCAGGACATGTTAGAGATAAACAGAATAAACAACCTTGAAACCAGCACAGACGAATTATGGCTTCTTTTTGGCAACGGGGCAGAAAGACAGAGACTTTATACAATCTCGGAACCATCAATACCCACAGATTCCGACAAAGATGACCTGAGACAAGGTTACTGGCTGAACTGCTCCTTCAGTGTCGGAACTCAAAATGTCCCTCAGACATTTTTAGAGGTTCCAGGCCTTGGTCAGAAGCATTTTAGACCCTGGCAAGCAGCTGAAAACAG